ACATGTCTGAATAGCCGGTACAAGGTCCAGCCTATCACCAACACTGGTTTCAAGCTGATTCAACTCTTAAGTCATCCCTTTTCACAAAGAACGGTATCTGAATCACGTGTTGACGAAAATTGGTCAAAATCTTAAAGTTCGCTAAAAATTAATTCTTGGGGGCAATTTCATGTGCTGAACAAGAATACCACAGTTCACTGAGAAAATCCTTGTGACTTGTGTTAGGTGGGAAACGAGCACACCACTCACTCTTCTAGGCCACAGGGAATCTAAACCTTCGAAAAGGTGGTCGCAGGCCCTCCCATCTTTACCAGTTGCGCTCTATTGCCAGATAAACTTATCCTATGCCCATTTATGTAAAGACGCGTCCACGCTTCCATGCGACCGCATGGGAAAACAAGCGGGGAGAAAACTCTCCATAACTTCGTTCAGAGAATCTTTTAGCGAATTTTGGGGAAAGATGAGCTCAGTCTCATAAGACGCATGCTTCGGTGTACGTCACATTGCGAATGGTCGAACAGTTGGCCTTTCCCGGTCAGCTCAAGATGAATTTCTTTTCTGAGTTGCTGTAGACCTCAGTCTTAGTGCATTTGAGCTTAACCTAAAAATGCTACTATGGGCATAACAATACTTTCTTATGCTACTTCTGAGGCTTAAGTGTGATTATATTTGATAGAAGGCCTTGTATGTTTAGACGAAAAAGTGGCTGCTGGATGCTGGTCTGACCGTGACCGATCTCTGTGGCGCGCCAGAACTAGATGTTTGTATCGATGGAGCTGATGAGGTAATCAGTACTACATTTCTATTTCAAAGTATCCATTCTGATCCATTCTGAGTTTGCAGATTGTACTTTTCACATAATGAAGACCATGATCATTAGGGCGTGTTAATCATAACTGCTCTTTCTTCTCCTTTTTCGTAGAAACAGTAGTAGGCGTTCATTAGCAGCAAATCAGATTTCGTTAGCCTGAATCCTAAGGTTTTGTTACCGATTTATACTTGAGTGCTGCGAATTTATCACTGTCATGAACATTGCGGGGAGATCGACGGTAGCGGATTCGTTCAGCGTTTCAATGTTCTGATAAAACTTCACTTTACAAGTCAGTCTCGTGATAAGTTCACCTATATGTTGTAGGTGTCGGCCGCAGAATCACCTAAAAGTTGTGGTCCCGTCAAATTATCCACAGTCGTCACGTTTTGCGGCATCGCAGTGACCCTAGACCGGTAGAGTGTACGCTGATCTGACGATATTTTTGTTGGGTTGAGGAAGGAGGAGGAGGAGGAGGAGGGAGAGAGTGGGACTGACTCCATGGCATTGGTATCTGTCTAAATTTCCGATCTCAAATAAACTGTTGTTTACCGTCGTTACAAATTCCCCGAAGTTCAATGGAGGATAAAGTCTTAACGTTGATCAGCGCTTCTTGAGGAGCATTCTGCCTCCATTCAAGATTATCAGTGGCTTATTGAATGCGATGTGGCCTATACAATCACTTGCGGGGGCCAGTCGACGTAGTCGGCCAGTCGCTTATCCTTTTAGTCGAATCTGGCAGGAGTTTATGTCCAAGGAAGGTAGGAGGCCTGGTTGGCTTAGGCACCAGCCGGTGCGGGGTTTGACCTCGGGACCTCGCTTGTGGCCTGAGGTTACTACGAATAAAATATTGGGCCAACGTTGTAAACTTTTTGTCCTATCCAAAGGCCCAGGGATGACTCACAGTTCAGGATTTAGGAACTGTTCACTTTTCCATCGAAGGCTTGCCCCCTATCATTTCTGACCTTCTCAGAACACAATCCCATAAGGACAGAAGGAAATCTAGAACTTGTTACATGAGAGGTGGTATCCTTTTCTGCTATAAGGTAGGCAGGGTCGCAGTCGCAGTCGTTCACTATTCATGGCTAGGAGCCTTTTCTGAATTTTCGTACGACAAGGATGTATGGCCTATCAAATGTTAACTTCCTCGGCCCCACCATTCAGTGTTGAAAGTGATTCATGTGCTAGTCGACTCTACCAATTTATACAGTTAAAGAGCTCAGTTAAAGGCAGTTGGCACGATGATTTGGTGCTCGGCCTAAAATGCTAGTAGGGCGCTATATAGTGGGGAAATGGCGAAAGAACGGAGTGAAACGGTCAAAATCCTGCGAAGAAAGAGTTCTCAATGTGTTGAAAATCAATTTTGGACGAGTTTCCCGTAGGCATCTTGCCAATAACCGCTACCGAAGGTACGGCTGCATATGTGTACCCATATATCCATGCAGCATCACGGCCGCTTCATACCAATCCCTTCGCTTCATAATTTGCTTAGCAAATGAATGAATACGAGCGTCAGGAACGGTCGTCCATTTGTGGGCGGGCGGGC